TAGTCTTTAAAGGTTTCACGAATCTGATTGTAAACAATTAACAATCACCTTGCTATTCTAGTTTTGTGTCTCCAAGGGAAGGTAAATAGCTTCTTTTCTCAAATTTCTTGTGCTTTTTCCTCTAATTTAGAATCCTTTGTCTGAAGACTATTGCGTTCTTTGTTCAACTGTTGACCAATTTTCTTATATATTATAATTACTTATTATGGAGATTATAACAATAATTGCTAAGTTGCAAATAATTTTCCACATCTATTCTATCTCTGTTGTTTATGATATATCCCAATGTAAAACATCTCGATCACCAAATACTCATAAATTACCATGCTTTTGTATTCACATTCTTTAGAAAACTTCCTTTGTTCTGCCTGTATAATGTACAGAGTTTCTGGAATTGTTTTGGATGGGTTTTCATGTAGTTTAATTTCCCACACTTAATTGATGCAACCTGAAATACATATCTGTATATAGGATATGGTGGGGCTATAATTTTTCTTCCACATGTGCATTTATGTCACCATCTTTTTTCTTAAATGCTAGATAAAAAGTAAGTTGAAACATGGGTAGTCATCGCACGCTCTGAAGCCTGCCTCTGGGTGGGGCAGGCTGCCGAGCATCTCCGGGCATCCATTCATTCCTATGATCAAACCTTGAGGTGGTTTTAACTATAGTAGTTCTATGCTGTGTTTGATGTCTGATCAGGTAAGCCTTACTACGCTTTTTAAATTGTCCTTGATTATTGTTAGGTATTGATTTTCCCCATAAGCTCTAAGCAGAGTTCATTCAGTCCCCAACATCCCTGTCTATATGAAGAACTCTGGATGTTTCGATTAAAGTTGCATTATGTTGATAAACTGAATGTCGTCAGTTTCCATTGGCCCTTCTCCTGCAACACAAATGCCACTTATCCAGTTATAAAGATCTTTCTGCATATTCTTCTATGCGCTTTTATGCTTTTCCAGATTGTATACTTTGCTATAAAAGGGAGAAGCTATTTATTCATAAATATGTTCATTTACATCCAACCAAATTATATTCAACTTACCAACTAATCATATTGGACTTTTATTTACTAAATTCTTTTGGACTTTCATATCATTAGAAAACAATTTTATCTTCTGCCTCTGAATTTTATGTATAAGTAATATAATTTTCTCATTTCCATTCCTCTAACCTGTAGTGAATATTGACTAATAATAATGGCATGGCTAACTTAGTGTCCAATTATTTAAGCACTTAATTGTTTGAGAATACTTACATCATTTTATTGGAATAGATTTTTTTATTATCTTCTAGTAATCAATTTCCCCTTTCTTATCCATGTTGCCACACTATCCAATACCTCTTTAGCATTGAGTTTTCTCCTTTAGTTATTAACCAAATGGATTGTATTGACTGACACAGTAATACTGAACAATTATACTTTGCTAAAATAAACTCTACCTGGTTCAAGCATAGTTTCTTTCCCCTCACATAGATGAATTCTATTCAGTAGTCTTTCGTTTCAATGTCTTCATTTGTTTTTAATAGAATTTTAATTGTAGTTTGCTTCTTAAAACATTCATCAGGTTTGGGTATTATGCTTACCTAGTCTCTATAAACTATGCTATGGGAGCTTTCTGTTTTTCCCCTGTAATCACATGATATTTTCTATATACCAGTAATTCAAACATTTCTAGTACAATACCTATAAAGGGCTCCTGAAAGAGTTTCTGCTGCTGGGGATATAGCTCAGTGGTAGAGCTCTTACCCCACATGTACAAGGTCCTGAGTTAGATTCCTGGCATAAATCTTAGTTCTGGTCCCCATGCTCCCCACTCCCGCCCCAAGAAAGGAAAGATATGAAAAAAGTAAGCAAGAGTAGCTGTTCCCCACCTGATCTGTGTAGTTCTGGGTTAACCTCTGCCTCCTTACGGTGAAGAAACAGAGATTTGTAAAAAGAGAAGATACATACCAAATTAGATTTCTGTAGACAAGAATAAACCCCAGACTGTCTACCTCGCTGGCTCAATACAGAGCGCCACATGGCTCCTCCACCCCTCTCCTCAATGCTGCCCCATGATGCTCAGTCCTCCCACTGGACAGAGTGAAGAGCTCAGTGAGCCTTTGCAGGGCCGAGTCCTCAAGGATACGCATGCTCCCTGGGCTGCTCGTTGTGGATGCTTGACTGTAAGAAAACTGCCTGGAAAGCAGCTTTACCCAATATCTCTATTGAATTCTAAAAGGGGGCAGTGCATTCCAGCTGTTATGAGCTAGCTAGGTTACACAACTTCCCGGTCCTCAACAGACAGCTAGACATTAGAGCAATCCATTCTGAAAAAAAGTAAATTTTTCATCATGAGGGGAAAAGAATCACAATGTCACTCCAATCTGAAGAGTCACCCTGACACCTACACCAAACTCTACCCCATCCACCAAGTACTACCCATCTGCCTCCCAGGGAGGCTTCACCAGCCATGGGGAGGCTGAGATGCCATAGGAGGGAACAAGGAACATTCCAGACCATCACTCTCCCACTGGTTGTGATGCAAAGGTCTGGATAGTCACAGGAACACAAGAACAACAGCTAGATGATAAGTAACAGCTGAACTGGGGAGGAGGGACAACATAGAAAAGGCCATCATTTCTCTCTTCACACATTTAATACGAGCAGGTAAATAAATATGGAATGGCAAAGCAATATATCTGTCTCACAAACTCTAAGTAATGATCAACGCCAAAGGAAAACACAACCAGATTAGTCACCTGCCTTAACTAATTAGAAATCGAGCGATACAGAAGACTGCATTGCTGAGTCAGTCTAATATGATCATTTGATGGACTCAAATACACTTTGAACTGCATGCATATAATTCATGAGTGATCCAAAATCATAGAATTGTTCAGTCTCATTCCTTGTACCTTAAACACATGACAATCTTAAAGAATTTAGGTTGTTCGTTATAAGCACTGGACCGCCTGCTTTATCTCCCTAGCCCCAAAGAAGAACATATGAGAAGATGAGGCTGGCACCAGCCCCGTGTCCCTGGGGACTATTAGAATATTCGCGAACCGCGCTTCTATTTACACTACCATCACTGAAGCTAATCCTTAGCTATTTTAGGGAAAAGGTTATGCTTTAATTAACAGCATTTTCCAAACAAAAGCTGTTTGCATTTCTTAAGTATTTTCAAATTTCAGAAATTTTATTTCACAGCAGGAGCTCCAGTTGATCCCATGCTTTTATGTGATAACACTTCTGATAAAGAAAGTAAGTCTTTGAAAGATGCCAAATAATTAGTTTCCAGCAACGGAAGTCAACAAGAACCATAATTAATGCTTAAGAACACTGTTTATGTCTAGAGCATCAATATATAGTGGAGGGACCAGAAGAGAAAGAAACACCTTTGCCCCTGAGTAAACACAAGCACTGAACGGGCAAACCTTGGCACCTGAGGTATAGCGCTTCCCTAGCTCCGTGCGTTCATGTTCTCTGTCTTTCTGACACCGTGGGACTGTTGCAAGGCTGAATGTAATCATATGCTTTGTAGGATATAACAGTCCATAGTTTATGCTTGCTTCCTAATTTTTCAGTGGCTGGCTTCACCCAAGATCTTATCTCTTTCTCAGAAAAGTTGGAAGCAGCAAATGTAGGATCACTTGAAAAAAAAATACAAAGACCCTAAATACAGATAGCCATTTCAGCTACTATTCCCTGCTTTGACTTGTACCATGTATGGAGAAATAGGAGCTGGCAGCAAAAACAATAATAATTGCAGTAAATTAACATTTGCTAATTACTCTGCGCCCACTAGTCTTATAAAAAGTTCCATGCGTTAACTCATTCAATCCTTATAACAACCCTACAAGGTGATAGAATAAATATAAGAATAACAACAAATAGAATAATAAAGGAAATTAAGGAACCCAACATTAACTCTCCTAGAGTCTCAAAGCTGGCAGTTGAAATAAATCCAGACAGTCTGTTTGTAGAACCTTCCTACTTAATAACTTTACCAGACCACCATCATTATTTCTGTTCTCTGTATGTACTGTGCACTTATCTGACAACCTGTACTATAATAGAGAAATAAACATTTACAAATGTTCCTTAGAGAAAGGAGTAGTTACTGAAGCTGAAGGGAAATCCCTCGGTGCGGCTCCTCAGCTCGGTAGCCACTCTTCGTTTTAGCTATAACCTTCCTGGAGCCTACCGGTATACCTGCCACCAATGCCCTTCCTTCCTTTTCCTTTACTGTTGACCATTAAGAACCCCATCTTTCTCCTGCCTTGAAGTTCATTCTGCTGGGAGAGCTTTCATGGAGGAGGCTACTTCCTTCTCATCAACTTCTTCATAGCGGCATTCTTATCTGCCCAGGTATTGTGCGAGTGGCCACTAGGGACTGCACCAGCACCTCAATGTCCATACAAGAGTGGAATTCACCAAGTCAGAAGATAGAAGTATCTACAACAAAAGGCCACTGGGATTATTCATGGCCTTGAGGCAACGAGATCAATTATTACCTTCTCTGTTGACTTGGATGCCAGTAACAATGACAGTAAAAATTGAGGAGATTTCTGACCTGATAGTATTCAAAACAGTAAGTTGTTAAGAGTATAGCACTTTATCCATCGTGGGCTTTTGTTTTTTTGTTTTGTTTTTTTTTTGAAAAGTTACAATATCTTGAAAGCTTTGACTATCGTCGACCCGCTTTCTGCCGCAGTATCGCCCATTCAGATCCACACAACCGTAGTAACTATAGCCACAAACAAGCCACGAGGTCATAAGCCTCTCTAAAAGAGAGGGAATCTACCCTGAAGGTTTTTCCTTCAGCCGGCTCCCATCCTGGCCATCAGCCAGATGAATACGAACAACACCCGAAACACTAGAAATGGAGGACAAGTATAAACACAGACCCAGTACCCCTTGAAAAACAAATGTCAGTGGCTTCCAAAGCCCACTCACAGAAAAGCACACGTCCTTCATTTTCCCAAAGAAAGAAAGAAGCGGAGGCACTTACAGTGTCGTGGGACTTGTCCTTCACATCATACACGGCTAGTTTTATTGTGGTCTCTTCGTAGATGGGGTACTCGGGTGGGAATGTGACACCAGTCAGAAACAGTGGGTCTCTTGTTCCCTGAAATAGCACACGCAGACAACTTGGATTCAATAAGGCAGCAACTGCAGGCAACAGCATGCAACGACACACAAGTGTGCGGACTGTGACCCGCTGTTCTAGGACATGGTTCCATTCGAAGGGAGCTCTAGGCAGCCAGCGGTAGCACGTGGTGCCGGAGGAGGGTGCCACTGAGCTGTAGGCTGGGTGGATTTCTGTATTGTCAGAGCTGTGCATGACAAGTCTTGAACACATGAGTGTTACTTTACCCCTAACCTTTCTTTCAGGCCCGATGTCAGTCCATTGCAGCGTACTTAACCGTTTTATTGTTATATAGTTATCTATAAATTGCGCAGGTAGGCTAAGTTAAATGTAAGCTATTCTCTCAGCTTTATTTGGTAATTCTGCTACCTAACCTATGCTTTGACAGCATTTGTTTGTGTTTTGAGGTGCAGTTGTGACTTTTTTCCCACTCCAGACTGACTTGAACACTAATAAAAGGAAACTTTAATATGGTATATTAGGAGCTGTGGCTCAGGATGTGGCACACAGGATATTTCAATTCCTTAGAAGGCCTTTTTAAGAGCTGACATCCAACCTTCAGTTTTATGCACACACACACACACACACACACACACAATTGTCTATGGAAGTTTTTAAAAGCCCATGTTATTCTCTCACTCATTTGATATTCACCCATTTTTTTTTACTTCAAAAGCAAAATACAGTTTTCCTTGGCTCTATGAGGATCCACAATGAATAAAACTGCTAAAATATAGCCACACATACTCCAATATAAAATTTTGAAATGATCTACTAGAAATTACTTTTATGGAAAAGAATAATTGTTTGATATGTGCAAGTAGCATAATAAGAATTTAGAAGAAGAAGAAGAAAAACACATCAATACGTAATTAAGTTTTAAAATTTGGCGAAATTTTGAAAACAATCAGGCAGGTGCTTGTGGCTCATGCCTGAAATCCTAGCTACTCAGATCAGGCAAGAAAGTCCACAAGACTCTTATCTCCCATGAACAACTGAAAAAGCCAGAAGTGGAGCTGTGACTCAAGTGGCAGAGCTCTAGCCTTGAGCACAAATGCTTCAGGACAATACTCAGGCAGGCCCTGAGTTCAAGCCCCAGGACCTGCACCAAAACAACACAGAACAGGACTTGAAAATACTCTTCAGAACAATTTTATGATTTTAGTCGAGTGAGCAAGTGAAGTTATTTTGGTTAAGTCAGCAATGGCCTGAACACAGAGTTTCCAAAGAACAGAATTAGGGATCCAGGCAGGATCTAGGTCAGTCCCATACTAGAAGTGACTCAGGATCAGTCTGAATCACTTCTTCCACCAACTGCACCAAAGCAGGCCCAGTTGGCCCCAGCCAGCCAGGTCTGGGGCTGGGTGCCTAGGGTCCCACAGACCACACCTCACACCACACAGACATGGCTGACAAATCTAAGCAAAGCAAACAAACCTGAGGGAGAGCCTTAGTCAGCTTTCTCCAGCCCCAGAACAGCAAGTCTTTCTCCTCCACTCGCGTCTTGAAATGTGTGATCCGAACAAAATAATCAGAACGGAAACACTTCCTCTTTTAAACTGGATCCAACACAATAACCAGTTTCCTCCTGACACATCTGAACGATCTATCACTACCCATTAAGGTAAATAGGAAATAGCTCATCGGACGAGTGATCTTTACACCTTTTGCCTGGAAACATTACCGATTCTCAAGTTCATCAACCAACCTTTCTTGGAAAAACAGCATCCTCTGAAAGACAAAGACACACACACACACACACACACACGCTCACAGACATGCACATGCACCTGCCCACATACAGCTGGGAACAGTGGCTTCTACAAATCAGATAGAAGAACACAGGACCAAATGAAAAGAGCAAAACTACTGAACACATGGAGCACTCCGACAGGTCCTCTGACAACGTTCCCCCACTGTATGTTCTCTCCAGTTCATTTAAAATCTATTGCTTTTCTGTGCTGCGATCTGGTTTGGGAATCCCATATGAAAAGTTTTGTGTGAAAGAGGCATAAAAGTCTTCCAAGAAAAACGGGTGATTTCTTTCTCCTTGGGTTTATTCTGGTGATGGAACAACTCATGAACCCTTGATAACCACTGGTATGCATTGCTTCCTTAGTGACAGGAAAATAACAGCTCTAGACCACAGAGTAATTTATGCTCAGAGAAACAGAGAGGGGGGCGGGGGCGGGGAGGGCGCTAGAGGAAGGGAGGAAGGGAGAGGGTGCAAAAGGCAAGCTCACCTCCACAGTCTCGGTGCTGGAATACCTTGAGACACTCTGCTGGGCGGGGTGGATTACTGAGACCTGCACCAGGGTGTTCAGCTTCCGATCACGGCCAGGAGCCACGAGATCCTTGCATGCTGGCAATGGCAGAGGAGAAAGAAAGAAAGAAAAGAAACTGACACCATCGCTCAGGGAAACACGCCTGTCAGTCTGTCTCTGTCCGGATTGGAGAGTAAACTTGGCGGGGCTCGCTGGGACTCAGGCAGCTCTGCAGAGGAAGTCCCTTGGAAGTACCTTACAGAAATAGGAAGTCACGTGCCCCCGCCGTGCTGAATTCGGACTTCATTTCCACTGACTACATTTGCAGCTCCTGCAAGTTGTTGGCTGTGTGAGAATGCCCATATCCACCGCCCCAGGGACTTCAGGGACTTTAATTAGTCCTGAAGCCAGTGGGCTTTAATTCACACTCCTGGCTGGGGGAAACTGATTGACTGGGCTATATCCAGGAAACCAGCAATGCACATACTAGCACTGGCTGGGTTAGTTCACATGTGTGAGCGAGCGCACACTTCTCCTCACCAGCTCTGGCCTCTACTGCCATTCACAAGCACAGAAACAGGAACAGTAGTTACCAGGACAGAGCTCAGGGGGGAGGAAGGGTTAAAAAAGCCCTTTGTCTGGAATTCTAGCCGAGTCTGAGAAAGCACCATAGGATAAGCATGGGGTAATTCTTGCCCAGGGGCCACAAATCTTAAGAACTTTCTCTTGGGACAAGGCTCAAGTTACAGACACCAGCCACCATACCATATTTCCTTGAGTATTTTCTCCTCTCACATATCCTCCTCCCACTTTGGAGAAGAAAAAGCCAACAACAACAAAAAATCGGCTTTCTTCTCAGCAATCTGCCCTCTTCCGTCCATTTCCCCGCTGGTTTTGAAATAGGAATTTCGCTCTGTGAAGCTGATTGTTAGGAGGTGATGGAAAGGGGCTCAAGTTTGGCTCCACTAGTGGCCTGCCAAGGACTAGAGCTCCTGCTAGGGGTTCTGAGAAGCAGCAGCCCAGGGGCCTAACAAGAGTGCCTGGGTCTCTCCCTCAGATTCCCCACCCTTCCCTCTGATCACAGCCAGCTCACAAGGAGCTTAAGCTCAGCCCTGGGTCTGTGGCCCTCAGCTGCTAGGACAGAGGTAATATATAGGCTTATATCTTAAAAGCAAAGGAAATTATACAGATAATTATCACCTTTCCATTTCTTACAGATCATCTCAGGAGATAGAGAACACAAGTAGTTGGCAATCAAACAAGCCAGGGCTTTGTTCAATTCTAATAGTCATAACTGGCAAAAAATTGCATTTCTTTTTGCCAGACTTTGGGATCCTCTTTCTTTCTTCTATTGAGATGGTATTTTGATTTACATTTGTCTTATTCAATCCACATGACTCAAGCAATACAGGAGAACTTAACAAAGGACATGTGGGGGGGTGGAGGGGAGGGGAAATGTAGCCACAGTTAATTTAACCCTCATTATTTTTGAGGCATTCTGTTTCCATCTCTTGATTCCTCACAATCATACTTTGAATGATTATTTTAGCTTGGTATATTAAAAAAAAAACAACTAGAAACTTTGCAGGACACTAGTGGCTCATGCCCATAATCCTAACTACTCAGGAGGCTGAGATCTGAGGATCACAGTTTGAGGCCAGCACAGGCAGGAAAATGAGGAAGAATCTTACCTCCAACTAAACACACACACACACACACACACACACACACACACGCCAGAAGTGGACCTGTGGCTCAAGTGGTAGAGCCCTAGCCTTGAGCATAAATAGTCAGAGAGAAGGTTCAGGGCCAGAGTTAAAGCCCCAGGACCTAGGAAGGCGGAAAAAAACAACAACTAGAAGCTTAGAAACATGATATGCTATATTTACATGACTAGGTCCCTTCGGAAGCTTTCTTACATCAGTACCTTGAGCTCCATTTCTTCCTTGGCTTGCTGACCTGCCATGTTTAGAAACTATTGCCGGGTGCTGATAGCTCACACCTGTAATCCTAGCTACTCAGGAAGCTGAGATCTGAGGATCACAGCTTAAAGCCAGCCCGGGCAGGAAACTCTGTGAGATTTGTATCTCTAATAAACCACTAGAAAACCAGAAGTGGTGCTGTGGATCAAGCGGTAGAGCGCTCGCCTTGAGCTGAAGAGTGCAGGGACAGCTCCCAGGCCCAGAGTTCAAGCCCCACGACTGACCAAAAAAAGAAAAAAGAAAAGAAAGAAAAAGAAACCACTGCCACTGCCCTTTGTTGCTCAACCCAAGAGCATTACTCTTTTAAAAACTACTGATGCGAGGTTTCAATAACATCAACCTATCACAGAAAGGAAAGGAAAGCTCTGCTTTAGATGTCACTGTTCTCGGGTAGCTATTTTGATCGTTTCCTTTTGTTGCCCTTTGAATGTGTTGAATTGTGGCACTCCCTGGGTTTCTGCGCACGGTGAACACTTACTGATGATGGCCTGTGTTGGTTTTAGGATTCCCAAGGGTGAGCCATATTTTTCCACTTTCTGATGATAGCTTTGTACTCTGTGAACTCCTGACACCCAACTGGCTCAGAATAACTCACTTCTTCTCTGAGTTCTTATGGTGCTGGATTGTGGTCTGTGGTTAGTTCCCAGAAGTGAGCAGCTATGTCTCTATTTCATCAGAGAAAACCTGAGTGTCGCCGCCTTACACCTCCTAAGAACAGAGAGAATCTCTACTAGGCTGGCATGTTTTGAAGAGGGATTCAGATACCCCAATACGAATCATATTAATTTGCATTTCATTATATTCCAGGCCTACAAGTAGTCATATAAAAACCTCAGCAATAATTAGCCAGGCACCAGTAGCTCCTGTCTGTGATCCCAGATACTCAGGAGGCTGAGATCTGAGGATCACAGTTCAAAGCCAGCCGGGGCAGGAAACTCCATAAGACTCTTATCACCAATTAACTAAAAGAAAAAAAATGCTCAAAATGGAGAAGTGGAGGTGTGAATCAAGTTGTAAAGCGCCCCGGCTTTGAGTGAAAAAAAGCCAAGGGAGAGCATGAGGCCCTGAGTTCAACTCTGACTACAGGCACAAACAGAAACTGAAAACAATAATCATCACTCTATTGGGCACTGAAGTCTTCTCTTTTCTTCCTGACAGCCAACAAAATTCACTCTTCCTTCTGACTAAAGCACCAAGATTTCATAGGAGAGAAGTGTAGCTCTCAGAATTCTGAGACACGGGCCTAGATTCTCTATAACAACTTTACACTCGACACGTTTCCTGTCTCAACAGGGTGGGCATATGTAAGAAGTCTGGCTTTTCGTGAATCAAGTTTTCTATGCAGAAATACGTTTGCCAGCAACAGTTTCAGTGCGTATAATTCCCTCATGCTTTCAGGATCCCAGTTTGAAGCCAGCCCAGCCAAACAAATCCACGAGACTCTTATCTCCAATTAACCAGCAAGAAGACGGAAAAGCTGTGGCTCACCCGTCTTGAGTGTAAAAGTTAAGTGCACAAGGACCTGAGATCAACTTCAGTACTGGTACCAGAAATCAAATTTAAAATAAAATCTCCATCTTTCTCAAAATACTGTTGATGTGAGTTTTTCAATGAAATACCAGCTTGTGTTTCACACAGCCAGCCTTTCTAAATCATGTCAAGTCTATCAGCTTCTTAGATCCTTTCTATCATTCCAGCTAACCTTGGATACTATCAGTGAGCTCAGTAGCAGCAATAATTGATTTGAATTGGAATGCTGCTACCAGGTCAGGTGGCTTTGAATCATCACTTAATTAGAAGGGCTGTGGAGCATCTGCGTGAACGTGCAGGGCCCAGCCTTGTGGGAAAACCTGAGGCCTCGGCAGCCTGGATCACGGCTAGCTGCAAGCAACTGCCCTTCACTGTAAGAACGGTTTGTCTGTTTTTCTACAAAGTTTGGTCATTTTTCTTCCCTTACCTACACTGATCTCTCTTCCTGGCCTTTCATGTAAGTGACATCTAACAAAACCTATTGTCTTTTCCCCACAACGAACCACCTGGGTAAGAAAGGAATGAAAACCTTTGAGAAGTTTTTCATCTTTACAATTCTTTACTGAGACGAACCAAAGGACGCTCCGGCCTAGAGAAGACACCACACGGCATAGCACGTGAAGCATAAAAAAATTGCTGGGCTTTGTCTGCCGGTGTTTTATTTATCATAAGAGTTGCACGCGAGGCAAGCGCTTTACTACCCTAGCTTGAGTCTATTATTCAGACAGGATGCTGAGATTTGGCCCAGACTGGTCTCAGACTGTGATACTCCTCCCTCAGACTCTAGAGTTGCCAGAAGAACAGGGAGATGTCATCACATCAGGGGCTCAATCTTTAGTTAAGATAAACCATATTTGATTCTGGGGTCAGGCCTAAGGAGCTACACGGCCTTTCCTCCATTATTCCATGTGACTTTGAGTCTCTGGAATTAAGTGAACAGACTCTATTAAAAAAAAAGAAGATATGAGAATACCATCTATAAGAAAGTGATAAAAGAACACTAGGCATCTAAGAAGTCTTTGAATGTGTTATTGTTATTATAGATCTTAATATGAATAGTTACATATTAACATAAAATTGATTTATTATTACACATGTTTATAATAACTATATGCTCAAAATAATCTAGGTTGACCCTGGTTTTAGGTAAGGTTATTCTTTTTTAATAAAAGCATTTATTCATCAAAATTATATTGAATCTCCTCCAAAACTGAGAAAATTGAGGGCAGGGGTGGGATGAGAGGAATGGAGAGAACGTTGAAAGGCGTGGCATTGATTACGACGCACTGTGTTCATAAGCTGCTTTGTTGACCAGCAACCCCTTTGTACACTACTGAAGATAACAATAATAGTATAGAAAGCATTTAGTAAACATATTTATGGATTTTTGTATCTTGTTTCTATATCGTGAAATAAGTGTTTTTAAACCATTTATTGGATCATGTGTTTATTTCAAACCATAGTTATCATTAGTGTATTTCATCTGTGATACCAGATGGGTATTTTATATTCTCACCTCTGATCAGGAAACTTCCAAATAAAAAACAATGGCAAAAATTGCAGAAAGTTTTATCTTGTTTCCTGGC